ATGATCCATGCACAGAGATTTATTCTCAAATTTATTTCAATCTCCCAGAAGTGCAGAAGGCGTTTCATGCCAATATAACTCATGTTCCCTACAAATGGGAAACATGCAGGTAAATAAATATAGTAGAATATGAAAAACTATATATTCCCTCGCAAGTGGTAGGGATTTGCTGATTGGGAGTTATATACTTTGCAGTGATATAGTTGGTGTTTACTGGGCAGATTCTCCTCTGTCTATGCTTCCTATTTATCAGGAACTCATAGCCGCTGGTCTCAGGATATGGGTTTTTAGGTACCAACTTCTTCAGCAGATTTCACTATTTATATTCATCAAATTTTCTTTCTTTAGAAGGCTGTAAAATTCTCATTATGCTAATTTGCATTAATTAATAGTTTTATCTAAGTTTACAGAATCAGTTGACGCTAGATTTCCTGTCACTCGCCCCAATTAGGGAAGAGTTAATTAGGAGTTGATACTTTAAAAATTGTATATCTAAGTATCTAACTAATCTTGACATAGTGTTTGACAAAAGTAGCTGATAAGATAGCTTCCCAATATAAAATGACGAAGAAAGAATATGTTTAAGATACTTTTGTTTTCAAGAAAGAGGTAAAAAACTGAATTATACGTAGTAAATGAAAAGCTCACGTACTTGTTGAGGCCACGAGAAAAATGATGGAACAAGCTTGAGCATATGCTGCATATCAAAGAAGCCTCAAACCAAAAGATACTTGTTCGAAAAGCTTCCACTAAAAAAGCTAATAGTAATGGAGTAGTATATAAACTAGCCTTTGTCATGCCAAATGCAGCCCATGTCCTTATGTACTAATACAAGTGTTTATATATCTCAAGTTCTAAACCATTGATCAAAATATTCATTTTGTGGGTGTAGCACGGGTCTCATTCATATTTTTTGAATTTAATTAATCCCAAAATATGGTACAATAAAACAATATACGAAGTATTACTTTATCATATATGAATGTTTATTATTGCAGCGGGGATACTGATTCAGTGGTCCCTTTAACTGCAACCCGGTATTCAATTGATGCTTTGAATCTTTCAACTATCACCAACTGGCATCCTTGGTATGACAATCAAAAGGTCAGTCAATCTGAGAAAGTATAGCATCTATTTTCATTCTGTGTTGCCAGAAACTGTCATTGTTCTGGAAAAAAAAGAGATTTTTTGTAGACTTGAATATGATTTTAATCCCTCAAAATATACTCCGTAGTACTCCGTAAATTGGTATTAGGCATCAATACTATTTGTTTTTTTTGTTCTTCATCCCTTTATTTTATTTAGTTGGCACCTATTCTCTAGCAATGTAACATGCCTAATATGAACATAGCTGGTGAACAAGAGGTTAATTAGGTTATGTGTCATGGAAGTTAGGACCCCATTTTAACACAGCCTTTTTCCTGATTTATAATGTGAAACCTCACCAGATTGGAGGGTGGAGTCAAGTGTATGATGGGCTAACACTTGTGACGGTCACTGGAGCGGGGCATGAGGTGCCGCTACATCGTCCTCGAGAAGCATATGTTCTTTTGAGATCATATCTGGAGAACAAGCCGATGCCGTCCCTGTCCAAGCTCTTATCTTCTTCAAGCTAGGGTAGATAGCCAGCCATACATTATAAGAAGCTGCCTTGTTTGTTATTCCTGTAAGAAACATAATAAGAATCATCTTGCTTTCACTCTCATATGCCATTTTCAACTTGTACAATTAGATTATTGCTACGTTTGGTAGAATAAGTGAGCATACGAAGTTTTTGTACTCATCTGTCACTTCTTACCACTTTGTTTAGATTTATCAAGTTAAACAATCTATTCTTTCAAAAATCACCGCGAAAAAAGAACTCTCATTTCGTCTGATCTCGAATTATAATGGTTGAATGAATGTTTCCAATTACAAGGTTTGACTGAACTTCTTATCATCATTTTGTAGTAAAGTTTGATCTAATGCTAATAATTATACTTTACATGTTTAGAACTATTCCGTATAAAAAGTTCTAAGCTGCCAAACCAAATTTGAACATGACAAAGCTTGATATAAAAAATAAAAGATATTTATCTTGACCATACGAATAGTTATACATCAAAATTCGATGACATGGAATGCCTAACGAATGACTTGACATAGGTAACGTGGCGGTGACATTGCGGGTTAGGAGACATGGGAAAAAATGCCTTGAGAAATAAATTTAAATATACTCTATTTTGGTAAATAAGTTTTAGAACTATGAAAAAGTATGCTTTGTAAGAGTAAGAATTGGATGGAGTGAAAAGGTAACTTTATGTATATAATTATTTTTTGAGGTAAGGGTCAATTGGTACATCAACTTGTATGAGGTGGAGTAAAGAGTACACTATATTGTATTTGATCTTTTTAAATACACAAATTCGGGTTTTTAGTGTTAATTGAGTACACTCGTTAGATTAACATGTTAATACGGTTGAGTTGGCTAACGAAATGTTATTAGGTCTACACGGGTAACACTGAAATTAGCTAAATCGGCTGATTCCGCTGAAATTTATGAATTTTTGGTTGAAGTGGCTAGATTGACCGATTCTGTTGAATTATGAAAAAATCATATCTAAAAATTACTCCGTATGTTATTAATGAAATAAAGAAAAAATTATATGAAAAAACAGCTAAAATGTTCATCTACAGTAACGTCGGCCAATCCAGGCAGAAAAGTAATTCCAACCTTACATATTTTGAATATTACACAACTAAGCACATGAAATCAAAAGTTACATATTTAGTGAAAAAGTTGACTGATAAGCCGAAAAACAACCAAACATACTCATAATTTTTGCCACTTATTTAAGATCACATAGCTCCATAGCCCCCATTCTCACTCTATCACCACCAACTTTTGATATCCTAACTTACGAAAAACGAGCCTTATTTTTTTCAGGATGATATCTTTATATGACCAATGTGCTATTCTTCTTCTCTTTAGGTAGCCTGTGAATAATACAGACAGAGGGTTTGTGTGACGCATACTTCTATTTTCCCCATCTTTTGCAACTCCATTCTAAACGAGTGAATACAGAGAAATGCAGAGATTAGGATTAGCTAGCCTCTAGTGTTCAATACACTGAATGAGACAAGGAACCAATTTTAGGCGACTTGAGTAATCCTGTGATGAAATTGATTCCCAACAATACGAACAGGACATAAGGAGCATGTTACATCTTGCATCTCCAGAACACCTTTTCACAAGCACGAACAAGTCCTACACGAACAATGACAGTAAATATTGTTATGTTAACGACTAGTACAACAACTATTGCAGTGCAAGATGAAATTAAATATTGTCATGTTACTCCTATTTCAGGAATGAAAACGTAACAATACTATTTTGAAATTCCAATACCTTTTTACTCCTATTTCGGGAACTTTCCCTAACAATTAATATATTAAACCATCTCAGTGCGAGCCACAATTAGGAGCGTGAAATAAGGAAAGAAAATAGAAAAATATCAAGCCTCTTAATTTAACTTTCTTAATTTAACTTGAAAGATTGTTAACTTTTTTAATATAGAGCACTAGAATGCTCTATATTAACAATTTTATCTTTTTTGTATATTCCCGCCCACAAAGAGCCACTTTCAATTATCAATGGGGGGTGGGGGGTGGTCCATTCAAATTAATTCAGGAGAAATGCAAGAATTAGGACTGACCATGATTGGAGATACCAAGGTGCCCACACTCCTCGGGCAGGGTATCTACCTCATTTTAATCAACCATCAATGTAAAGTTAGTGGAGCCTGAAACATCCACAAAATCGTTTGGTTTTTTTACAAAATTTTTCATTCAAAATGACACAAATATTAAAATAATAATTAAACAAGGTAATTCGAGTATATCTTTAAAAGTCGTCGTTGTTATCATCACCATTATCCCATTGCCGCAAAGGCTCCAACCTTGGGTGGGGTAAGGGGGGATCGAATGTACGAGATTTTACCCTTGTACTAAAGCACAAAAAGATTGTTTCCGGATGATCCATAAGTCATAACAATGAAGCACTGACAATTTAATGAGTCATTTTGGTTCATTCCATCATACCTCTCTTTTTTTTTAAAAGAAAAACGCCAATCTTATAAAATTAAATCGTTTGCCAAATGGCTAACAATAAACACCGGTGGCGAATCATAAATAGTATCACAACCACTCGTTGAAAGAGCAAAACGAGCAAAGGTATGAGCTACTCTATATGCCTCTCTTCTACACCACTTGACTTAGATGTCCCCATTTTCTCCCAAGAATGCTTTTATATCGTAAAAAATAACCCCGATTTGGGCCGCACACGATTCTCCTTGAATTCCCGCTATTGTCAAGGCTGCATCTGTCTCAATTACTATTTTTCTCCATCTATTCTCACGAGCCCAAAGGATAGCTTCCCTCACACCCCACGCCTTTGCCTCTGCCGGGCTCCAATTAACTTTGACAACCCGAGTGCATGCTTTTAAGGGGGGTGTCCCCCAACATGGATTTTAATAGAGTTTAGATTTCCATTAAAATTCGGGTATCCTCAATATGGATTTCTAAAAAATCTATTAAAATCCAGGTATCCTCAAATATTCCATGGATTTATATGTTAATGGACTTTGAAAGATTTGGATGGAATTTTAAGCCAAAAAATTGAATAACTCAATCCACCAACAATCTGCCCAACACCCACTGGATTTCCAAATCCACGTACAAACCCTACGCTCTCAGTATCACTCGCAATAAAGCAGACCAATAGGCTTTTGTGTTCTTCCATCTTCTAGGCTATCTCGTTCCTCTTCATCTGTGTTCTCGATACGAACCTATATACCAAACGGAGATGGTAGCAGACGGAACCTATACTCACAAAGTATTATTGTTCTCAACACCCATCCTTCCAGTTCTTTTTTTTTTGTAATCGTATTACAGCTTTGCTTCGTAGGTACTAGCTTAATGATTATAAAGTATAAGTGGGTCATTCAATTTTGTTTGCTGCCCTCCTACCAGCTTCGTTCTGTATTACAAGCTTTTGTAATACTTCGAAGTATTATAATCTGCCACGCAATTGTATATTAAATCCATAGAATTGTATATTAAAATCTATTTAGATCCGTCAAAATCCATATCATTGTATGAAATAGAATTCCATATCAATCTCATGGAATCTGTAGAATTCATTTAAAATCCATAGAATCTGCAATCCTTTAAAATCTGTGTTGAGGACACCCTTGTAAGATTCTCCCTCGCTGTTACGACTAATCCAGCCCCACGACCACACAAGTCCTCGGATTATGTGCTGCATCAACGTTGACCTTAACTTGGTCTTCCTCCGGGCTTTGCCACTTTTGTTCACTCTGCATCGTACTAGATCTCACCAACCTGCTGTCACCTTCATGGACTGCTCTCCAACTCTTCAAAAGAGTATCTGCTGCACGTTGCACTCTCGTGACTGAGAATGACTCACCTCTCCATACAATTCCATTCCTAGACTTCCAAATGCTCCATAAGAGCATTATAACTTTAGAAATTCCTTCCTCATCTAGCCTGCTAAAGACCTGCTGCAGCCACTCCTCAACTGGGCTCACCTGCAATAAAGAAATATACCCTGCTGCCTTCAAGACCTCTTTCGATGCTTGGCACTCTAAAAATAGATGAGTTGTGGACTCTTCCTCCCTATTGCAAATAAGACAGCTCCCCACAATCGGAATATGCCTTCTTTTCAGAAACTCGACCGTTGATAGGATACCACTAGCCAGCTGCCAAATAAAAACTTTGACTTTAGGTGGAACTCTAAACCTCCAAACCGCCGTCCATCCCACCCAGCCTTGGGGCTGAACATTGCCAACTAACTTTCTATAACAACTACGAACACTATATTTCCCTTTTGCATCCTCACTCCATCTATACCCATCCTCCAACGGATTAAGACTCAACGGGATGCTACGAATTAACAACGCTTCTTCCTCGTTAAAAATTGAGTTACTACGCCGAATATTCCGGCTTTTTCCATCTTCATTTAACAAGGCCGCCACATTCATATCCGCTATCCCCTGCGGTCTTACTGAACACAATCTCCCCGAGCAACTTCTTGGAAGCCAATAATCCTTCCAAACTGAAATGGACTGTCCATTACCCACCCTTCTGGTGCAGCCCGCTACTACCACATTTTGAGCTGCTAATATGCTTCGCCAAACAAAAGGGTTACACCCTAGTTTTGCCTCCCTAGTCCTAGTTGGGAAATATTTGGCTCCATCATATCTCTTAGTAAAAAAAATGAGTTTTTGACTCCATTGAGATGGTTTAATATATTAATAATTAGTCAAAATTCCCGAAATAGAAGTAAAGAGGTATTAGAATTTCAAAATAGTATTGTTATATTTTTTTTCCCGAAATAAGAGTAAAGAGGTATCAAAATTTCAAAATGGTATTGTTACGTTTTTCTTTCCGAAACAGGAGTATATTTTTAAAAATAACTTTGATAAATATGTAACATAATAAGATCATTTAATAGTGTAATTATTTCCTTAAATAAAAATGAAAAGATTTAACACATTTGTGGTCAATTTCAATTCATTTGAAACGTAATGTGAGAAGCCTAAACTGAGACGTGGGAGTACCTTTCAGTGGTCAGTTTCAATTCATTTGAAACTTGCTTGGCCCATTTTTCTATCAAATACGAAGTACCATTAGCATCAAACAGTGTTGAACATATTCAATCTTGACCGACATTCCAGTTTTACCAAACAGATAATAAAACAATCACAGCTGCCTTTCAGCACACAACTACAGTTTCTAACTATCCATTTACATGATTATTACTGCACTATTTACACGATTGATCATACGAAACTAATGACCACTAAACTTCATCCATAAGAGCAGCAGATTTACAAATCGGGCAGACTTTTTTCATTGACAACCACTTGCTGATGCAGCTCACATGGTAATCATGTCCACACTTCATCATCGTCCCTACTTCCTCCCTGTCCTGGTAAACTTCCTGCATTGCAGACGAGCAACCAAAGGAATAAAACCCACAAATCATGTCATTTTTTGCCTTGTATAAAAGAAAAATACTAGATGTACACGATTAGTACACAAAGTGTCCACAAAACCCCTAGTTGCCTGTGTACACATGCTATTCGTTGGGAAAGGGCAGAATTTTATGCCAAAATGCATGTGTACACAGGCAATGCACAATTTGTGTACACATTTTATGTACACCAAAAATGGCCCCGTATAAAACCACTCATAATTTGGCCTAACTGAACCCAAAAGGACCCTCAACCGCTAATGTTTACCTCACATTTATATATTAAGCTCAAACCTGGTAAACATCCAATGCATTTGTTTGTTTGTTCTTTTTGGGGTTACACCTCCGTGGTGGGTTTCACACTAAAGCTAAATGCTTAGAAGGGTAGTGCTCTTTGGCAGGGAAGAAGAAAATTTCAAGGAATGTAATGGAAGGAGTATACAAATGAAAGTATTGGTGCAAAATGACTATATTGCCCCTTATAGAAATCTGGAAGCATTAATTAGTACTCGAAATCAAGACGGGAGTAAAAGTTGGAACAATAATATTCGTAATCTGATAGAATGAAACATGTGAAGTGATCGTTAAAACAAGATGAAAGAAGTAGAAGTATGAAAATTCTTACGAGGCAAATAGCACAACTTTTGTCCTCGCCATGAGATGGAACAAAGACTTCTGCGGTGATGCACTTGGTGACCACATCTTCGGACAAACCAGTATTGACATCGCCAATTCTTTCTCCTAGAGCAAGCAGTTCCTGTAAAGGAAGTAATATGTTGTTATAGATAAGGGGTAAAATGCATTTTTGATATCCTAATTACAGGGGATTGGCAGATCTAGTTCGATATCCTTTTTGGCAGTTAAGGCTCATTACTTTTATATATCGAGAATTTTGTCCGGAAGCCACATTAAGTTTTTTTTTTTTAAAAAAACTGAAGCCACACAAAGTTGAAAATGCCAAAAATGCTATTATTAAGAATAAAAAATTAGACAACTGGCGTTAAAAAATACATTTTTGGCCTTTTTAAATTTAATAAAAGTGCGATGTCATTACCATTTTGCAACCTCCCACCTCAGCTGTATTTCATGGCAGATTTTTCTTACTTCAGAACTAAATGCACAACCGTGTGAAAGTAATCGATCTAAATTGCTAAAATAGTTCCAATGGGACTAGTTATGCCAACCCCTATAATTATGAGACCAAAATACACTTTACCAAGAGCGCGAATGGGGATATGTTCATATAAAAAAGATAAGGTTGTTGCTAATAACCTCATAGCTCATGTTATCGACATCTAGTCTCATGCCTATGTATTCATCAAGCAAATTTCTGGAACCATCAGAAAAGGATTGGTGCTCAAACCTGAGCGGCTGCTATTACAGAAAAATGAAGACAAAACCAATTATTATTGATGACTCTAGTAAGCCAGTAACAGTTTCATACACTTCAGATTTCTGTGAAGTCATACACTTCCTGCCTCCAGATTTTTGTGAAGTCATATACTTCTTTTATGACTTCTATACAGTCTCATGCTTCTTTTGTTGCAAAGGAAACATATCACGCAAGTGAAAAGTGAAATAAAAACAAAACGAGAAAAAAAATTCCAAAAGATGATACACCAGTTAAAATACGAAGACTGCTAATGTACGCAAACATGCAAATTCTGAGTGCCCAAAAGCAGCTTCATGAAGGCAAGGACAAGCTAGCTCTAGCAAAAGAAATGACAGTTTGCACCTACCAATATGAGTAAAGTGAATCGAAGCCTAAATTTTGTGATTAAAAAAGACTTATTTTTATTACTTTATGCTTGACACATGGTTAAATATATACCCCTAACCGCAACCCCAAAATAAAGACATATTACTTCATCAAAATATGAAACGTACATGGCAGATAATCCAATGGTCCTCCGTCCCAAGAAGAGTCAACTTTGAAAATTATTTTTTCCTCCCTAAAAAGATCCGTAATTGAACAAAAAAGAAATGATTCATTTACTTAATGTATTTATATTAAAATTGTCATATAGTAGTATGTTAAATTTTGTTAAACCAACAAAACCAAACAAAATAGTTAGAGCTGAAGATTTGCAATAGTTAGAACCTTGCTAATTTAAAAAGTTTAACTTTACCTAAATATGCATCCTTACGAAGGGCGTGGTGGTAATTCCTTGTAATTCAAAATATTGCCACTTGTGAAGTATCTAAAATTTATGAAACTATTTTTAATTTAGAAGTCTGTTCTATACAAGAGTTAGAAGTATCTCAAACTATACAAGAGTTAGCAAAAGTACCTCAGATCTCATTATGTCACGAGAATCACGAGCACTAGGAAGTGCATTAGTAACCCCAAAATTTCCATGCTGAGAATGGTTGCTCCATCCTGGCCATCCTTCAGCACTACTAGGTGTCGTATTTCCGAATGAAAACGTTTCAGTGGAGGAATGCCCACCATTTTCAGTGGACGTCGCTGCAGCATAGCCTAGCTGCGTGTGGCCCATGTCATTACTGTTTGGGGGTAATACTCTTCCAGTATAGTTAGTGCGGCTTTCCCTTGGATCCACAGCAAACCCACCAACACGATGTGAAGATGAGTTAAAATTTCCAGTTGAAAAGCAGCTACGATTATGGGGGGCACTTAAATCGGCAGCACGTCCTCCAAAATAAAAAGAATTTGTTTCATGATTTGAGCCACTAGATTCTGGGGAATTTTGAACAAGTTATGAGTACTTTTTGTTGAGTAACCCACATCGGTTGTCTACTGGTCAGAATCCTAGTATATAAATAAGTATAAGGTAAAGCACTAACGCCCACCTCTTGAGGATCGTTTTAGGGTGAGTTATGCCCGTTATGACACGGTATGAAAGTCTAGTCCAATGGTGGTTTGTTGTGAGGCCGTGAGGAGGCCACTATATGGTTTGAGGCAACACCTTAAGGGGTTGTCTGGGCCCATTTTCCCACCCTTTAGTTACTCAGCATGACTTAGGCTGACGGGTGTGCTGAGAATCCCACACCACTTGTCTACCGGGCTTGGGTCTAATATGCAAGTGACATAGACCTTAAAAATCATTTTGGGGTGGGTTAGACCCATAAACTTTGGTTCGTGAGAAGAGGGGAGGTGCCATTTGACACAGAACTATCTAACCTGAATGCAAGTTCCTTCCTGAGCTTGAACCAGTAGTATTTCTGATGCCCGAGTAATTTGATGGATGGGTTGCAAATTGATGTTCAACTGAAGTGTAGTTTGGTATACGATGAGTTATATCAGGAGCACGTCTTGAGTCATAAGTATATCGCCTTCTTAGATCTCTCCACGACTCATCACCATTAATAGAGATGCCACTGCTTCTACAACGAGGAAAGCCTGAGAGATGTGAAGGGATATTTTCATTCTCTGGAATTGGTCCCAACATCCCACCAAGAGATCCGGAAGAGCTTCCGACATCATAAGATATGCTGGATCTCTTTCTTTTAAACAGCCCTCTTTGGTTGCTTTGGAGATGATCAGCAAGACCACCATGATATCCATTACTCCCCGGGCCATGTACAGTTCCAACAGTTGATGATTGTGCAAAAGGCGCATAAGGAGGGCCTGAAATTTGTGGTGGGGGAAACTGAGCTGCTCCCACGCTAGAGTTTGAATAATGATACTGATGGTTTCCTCTGCTTCTGGAATTCAACTGTTGGTCTGCACAAATAGGCTGGACGTCTCCAGACGGGACAAAAGAGCCACCTGAATCAGCAAATCTTCCTGAAAATGGATATATTGAAACCGATCAAAGTGGACACAATATAATGTTTGGGGAGTGGAAGGCATTTCCTTGTACACAACGATAATTTTCAGTAAAATCTGTTGTTTTTGCAAATTAATAGTTAAAAACTTAATGCGGCACACAAATCTTGAAAAACTCACAATTTAAATTTAAAAAATGGCATGTCAGCATGGGATATCCTTCATGAAAGAACCATCACATAAAACTGTATCCTAAATGTAAACATAATGTCAATTTTTGGGAGATCAGCGGTTCACAAATCTTGAAAAACACAAAATTTAAATGTCAACAATGGCATGTCAGCATGACATTTCCTCCATGTGACTATATCCTAAATGTAAACATAATTTCAAATTCTGTGAGATCTGTAAGTCATGTTAAATGACACCGGTTCTAGAAAAGCATAACCACGAACTGCAAACGAACTTATGTACTCACTCAAGAATGATAACATAATCCCAAATCAGTACCTGTGGCAGTGAAAGGTTGCCCTGAAATATAACTTTGATGCTGATTCTGGGCATTTCCAAATGTACTGAATGAATTTGAAACTTGTCTATACCCCATTCCTTCGTCTAAGAAACCACTTAACAATCCTGGGTTGAAAAAGAGGAAAATATAATTAAGAAACATTGGGGCATAAGACACTAGAACTGTCCAATTAGCTTGGTAGCAACAAACTGACAACAGAAGAGAAAAGATAAATATAATTCACAACAAATACGGAGTATATGATAGTAGACATGACCTTCAGGCTTCAGCATTATACACAACAAATCTATCTCCTCAAGAAATATTTTCGTAATTTATACAAATTTAAAAGAATTCCCAAATTTAATCAAGATTCCAGCTGGAAAAAAGAATCTGTATCAAATATGAAATAATGGCTTGTGCTTCCAGTTTCTAAAGATTTTTCCATTTCTGTTATTTACATATGCTGTTAATCCGTGCCTCAATATGCACACTAGTCAGCACATACTCAAGTGTTTGGCTAACATATCAAAGTAAATGCACTGGTGGGGCATATTCCTAAGGATCTTCAGTACAAAAAAGTTTCCAACTGTCTGAGATACTAGCTAAGACCACAGCGATCAACCCGCTACTCTATTTTCACCAATTAGGAAAAAACCACTCAGATAGAATTTACACTAAATAGGCTTAGCACCTAAAAACTATTAAGTTTTGAAGTTTCATCCTAAAAGGTCAATCTAATAGAAGGAATGATTCAAAGCTTTATATATTAGTTGGTAGTTTTATATGCAACCGGGATAGATTAATATTTAATACGCCATACAAGCTGGTGGCTCATAGGAATTTACCAATCTTGTTGAAGCTTACAAGAATCGAATTGTTCTTTCGAGCTTAATTGGCTCTGATACTATATTAAGACTTAAGAGTTCTATTCTAATAGATCACCCTAATAGGAAGAGTAGCCCAGTAACTTATATAATGATTTATTATTTTATATCAATCTGGTGCGAGACAACCCAAATTGGGCTGTACAACATCGAATAAATAGTCAAAACAGACTCTTAAAGAACTACCCTTAATCATAAGTGTTAAACAACAATCAAACCACAACATACAAGAAACTATTCGCAGTAGTAGTCAAAGGCTTAATAAGTTAGTTTGTATTTTTATAAGAAACTCGTGTGGGATAGCTTAATAGAAACGACCAATAACATACAAGAAACAAAAGTTCAATAGTTATTTCCTCTGATAGAAAGAGCCTTGGAACAAACTAATATATTGACAAATGAATAAACGTTTGATGATTTTTCCTACAGTTGAGACGAGTGGTAGTTTCTAGAGAACCAACAAAAGAATTGGTTAGAGAATAAATACCAAAAATCTTTTAGTGAACAACAGACCTGATTAGGCCAAACTCATTTTTATCTACAACTAATATTTTCTAGAAGGGTAAGAACAGGAATTAGTTCCAATTCAAATGGAACTAAAAAAAGTTCTTTGAGTGTCTACAAACACACAAAACAAGAAAAAAGTGAAATGGTTTGCGTGGAAGAGATATATGTGCTACTTGTATAGTAGAAACCTCTATTTGATTTAGCATTCAGACGAAGTGATGGAAGACAGGACAGCCACATATCAAACAAAGGGGTTGATAAAAACTTCAATCTGATTTTCCAAAAAGGATGAAAAATAATGTAACAGAAAGAGAAGGAAAATGATAAGGCTAGCTGACCCAATACTCCCCCATTACTTAAATGGACATAATAAGAGACAAGAAAATATGGACTGAAATAAATTGCCAAGGTTGCTAAACTTTACTAACCTAACACTTACAAATCAAAGAACCAAGGAGATGACAATTAACAACATGTCCAAAGGTAAACGAACATTGCCTCACTTGAAATTGCCTTACTTCCTTGCAATTGAAATACACTCCACACCAGAAACCGGCCAAAGTCAAATGTATAACCAAATACATACGGGCTAGAGTCTTGAAAAGAAACCGTCGTGTACCCTACTAAGCAGAGAGAGGAACATGAGATGATACTACTGACTTGAACCAAATTTGAAGTACCTAATAACATCAGAGGGTAAAAGATACTAATGATAGCTTAAGACACTATAGTATTGAAATTTGAAAATTCTGCCTAAGCTGATATTTGATCTAATCTAAACCATAAGCTTTTTGCAAAAAAATCATCACAATTACCTTTTTCTTTAAGCTCCCCTGGAGATCACTAAAGCACAAAAGGAACCTGAACTTCGTTTATGGAAAAAGACACAGTACTCCTACCCCTGATCAACTGTTGATCTAACTACTTTTATTTGGCTGAAGCTGCAGAGAAAGGTTACCCGCTTTTGAAGTAGTTTTTTTGGAGGGGAGCCTCCAACAGGTATTTTCTAATTAGCTCACAGTCTGAGCAAAATCTTGAAATTAGCTAGATCTTGCTGGAATCCTGGACATTTAGGATAGAAGATGATGTATTGCAATAAGGAAATTAGGCAATAAATTCAGGCTAAATTTACTTTCATTATGTTAGTGTGCAATACTGCAATGTGTAACATCTCAAAATCATTACACTTTTACAGTACACCGGATAAAGAGCATTCATAAGAACCCCCCACCTCGGTTTGTCTAAGGATTTGTAGCTCAGTACGTAAACAACTAATACCACACTGAGCAGCTTGAATTACTTGGAACTGCAATTTTAAGAGTTTACATTGTGTGCATCTTCTCTCTCCAATTCCCAAAAAACAATGAATCAAAGAACTGGTGTGAAGATTTGAACATTAGGCAGGAAGCTTCTTAGACCAGACAAACTAGTTCAATACATATTTCTTGAATAACATTGTGAGACACTAACAAATGCTTCAGCAGCCCAGATATCAAGCCAAAAAGGTAGAATTATTTTTTGAACCAACATAGATTAATATATTGGACATGAATGCATTCTATAACTGTGAGACCTTCAGTGAAAATATGCACGAGCATCACTACATTAGAATTTGGGCTATAAAGTAAATCAAAATCCTGAATAAGTACAACTTAGCAACAACATAAGCTCAACTAGTCAAATTTGATAACAAAAGCATGTTCAGTATTTTTTGGTCAACACAACTGTAATATATTATGAGTAAAATGATAGGCATAGCCGCAGAATCCCATCAAGATCTTGCATAAAAGGGCCACCTTTGTCATTCTTCCACAAAGTCAATGGTTAAAGTGATTAAGCATTTTATCTACAGTCCTGGGGGGACAATTTCAGGTGCAACCTGAAGACCTTAGGAATAGTTGTTAAAACAATGAGAGGAGACTGACGCTGCTTCTGATATCAAACTTGAGTATGACCCAAATATATTAAGAAGAATTTTAATCTAGGTCCAGCTTGAAATTCTCTCCGCCATGTCTTAATTAGCCCAGTCCCACGGCATGATGGTAACATAAACATGCAAAATGTCCAACTCATTGAGTGAGTGTAAAAACGATGATCAACTTTCTGATGTCAATCACATTGCCGAGTATAAGTAAATCCAGACTTCTTTTCCCACCATTGGGTACATCAGTTATACAATCCAGGACATACATGAAAGGCAGAAGAATAACTTGGGACACTAATTTTGACATAGTACACTGAGAAAAGGCATTTCATGCTCAAGCATCAACAAGATTGAGATGTGTCTTGTTGGATCTTATCATAAAGTCATTCCTGCTCAAACCCTTAGGCATCCACAACTACTATAATAAACAGGAAGACAAAGCAATTCTGGAATTTATCACCGCATTTCCCCTATGCATTCGTTAAAATCAGGGGTTCCCTGAAAGAATGCTAAATGTGCTACAATGAGAGAGAATAGCATAGTTATTCATTGGTGGGGTCAACCATCAAGCAAAAGAATGGCCGCTCAGTCGCTCACTGATTCTTATCTCTTTATTGAGCTCTAATGAAACAACAGATGGCAAAAATAATACTTCCTGAAATGCCACCATGTAGGATCTATTTCTAGTTCCATATTATAAAACTGATGTTTTTGGTCAAAGATCTATCATGGAACAATCTTCTCATGCAACAGTCTCCATATTGTTCATGCATTTAAATTTTTCCTACATGCACCAGGTGAAAAGAACAGCTATATCTCTAAAGTTCCTTAGATTTCATCTTTGTAACTGGTTACCAATGGACCACAACAAACGTTACTTTAGCACAAAACTGTAGCAGTTCATAATACATCTCATTGGAATATAGCCCAAAATGACAATCCTTGCTCTGTTGCTCAAGGTAAAGGAAAAGGTGCCTGCAATGCAATATCATTTATAAATTTAAATTAACTGTAGCAGTAAAGACTGTAACTACTCGCTGGGGTTGTTATGGGTATCTGGCTTGCTACAAGGAGAAGAAAACAAAGAAATCACGATATTACCAATTCAAATACTTCCCTAAAACTTTCATTCAAAACCCAACCTGAAGAACAGTAAAGAGAATAAGGCATTAAGGACAAAGTCAAAGATCTGAAATCTAAACCAACTCAGAGTACAAAAGACTATGGGTGGTCACTACATGTAAATGAGTCCCCAGATGTTCATAGAAGCATCATGTGCTTCAAAACTTGAAAAAATTGGTGCACACGAAAGAGTGGAAAACTTAATTGAGAAAGCATAAGAAAGAAAAATAATCCTATTCCAATAGAAATTCATAAGCTGGGATGGATTTGGGGGGCTACCCCTCGGAACTTAAGAAAAAGTTATAGTTATAAACTTATAATACATGCAATACTTTTTATAATTTTTTATATTTTTACTACATACACATATCTTCTCCCCTTGATTTACATTTTTTGAAATCATTTTAAACCTTTAAATAAGACTTAATATGAGTTGTAACCGTTTATGAAGAAAATAAACCAAAATACTTTGTACTTCAGTTTTGTCATTAAAAGTTACTAGTTTCTTGCTTTGTGCAAAAAACAATAATAGAAAAAATCATTGGTTTGAAATGTATGATATCAAATCTATAATAATAGAATGCGATTTTTTTTTATTTTTACTTTTATAAGAAAAAAATACACAAATTTGTAAAATACCATGCAATATTCAAAAAAATCGTAGAAAAAGAATTATATACTTCATAGTTTTCTTATAAAGTTCAAATGAGCTTGTATGTAAAAGTGTATGACATTTAAAAAGCGGCATACTAATTTAATCTCCAACTTGTTTAAGAAAACCTATTTGATATGTCGTACTTCTTAAACTTCCAAAGATTATACCATTAACACACATAACATGCACACATATTACCCACATTTACAATATTTATATAAACAAAACATAATATTAAATTTAAAATGAAAAATCTCATACATACTATTGTAAATTTAAAAACACATTTCTTGGACTACAACCATTCAAGTTATACAAAAAAATAGCTTTAGAATTTGATTAATCATTCTTACAAGGTTTATGTTGTTAAATAACAAAAGTTATTATAAAAATAGCATATGGGGATGCTCACCGAGTACAAACTTCATCGTCAAAATTAATTAATAACTTTTCATCCATTTTCAAATGATCAAGTACTTTTTCTTTGATTTAGTATAACGTAGTCATTTGATATACGAAGGGAGACTTTTAGAACTATTTTATTATAAAAACTAACTTACTTTTTTTACATCACGTAATGTTACTGAAAATAGTAGTGGCACTTTTAAGTATCTAACTATATGCTACTGAAAATATTTTTTATCAGTTTTTAAATAAAAGGTATATAAAATCCCATGGTAATAAAAAAACATTATGCCCTTGAGCAAGCAGCATTCCAAGCCACTGATGTTTGTACGTTTTATGGGGAAAAGAAGGAAGGAAGGAAGAGTCCCTCTTGACCAATCAGCATTCTAAGCTACTGATGTTTGTACATTTTATGGGGAATAGAAAGGAGGAAGGAAAAAAGGAATTGATGAAGGAAGGCAAAACGAAGAAAAGAAGGAAGGAAGGAAGGAAGAAACTAAGAAAGAAAGAACAAAAGAAAGCTCAAATACGGATGAAAATGTTTACAACCTCAATAGGTACCAGCTACCCTATAAAACATATCAGTATGAATGATTTAACAACATAACTTTAAAGTCAATTTTAAGGCTATATATATACATTATGTAAAGGAAGCGATTCAAACAAAAATCATGCATCCCGTGCGAACTGCATACGGTTGCACTTTGACCTCAATTTGCTGCACTATAAAGTTTTTCAGTTGCACTTTTAAGATTTGGTCCAATCATGCCAACAATGCACTAGAGCAAATAAATATGCAGTGATAGTTTGGTAAATAAATCAAATTCTTCTTTCATCGCGAAAAGTGTAACATATGAACTCCATAGTGCGTTAAAGTTAGATGAAAGTGCAACCATTCACAGTTCTCTCCCAAAGCATGGTTTTTATTTGATTTCAAAAAAGATGATGTATATACATTGAGATACATGTTCAACCATAAGTAAAATTTAAAAAATCAGTAACACTACAGATTTATTACTATATACTCTCAAGATCCCAACGAGAACAATTTTATGATGGGTAACACGTAAAATTAAAAAAGATTTTTAATATACACTCTCAAGATGTCCCAACGTGAACACTTTTATGATGTGTAACACAGTAAGATTAAAAAAGATGACATATGAATTTTTAATCAATTTGTTGTTGTGTATCATGCAGAACATTGTTCACCAAGCTCACTTCTGAGGCTTCAAGAGTTGCCTTAAGCAAATTGGAACTTTTGGAATGTTTGATCAATTTTGGGAGACCAGAAAAACAAAAATAGAGAGGCAGGGAAAAAAGTATGGGCACTGGAAGCAGAGTTGTGAAGGCCACAGCATGGTGGGGTATTATGGTCACAAGTGCCGGATGACCATAATATTATGAGCTCAATCATCATCTTCATCATTACCCCAGTGCCGCAAAGGCTCCCACACCTTCAGTAGGGTAGGGGGGTCGATGTACGCAGTCTTACCCCTGTACTAAAGACCAAACAGATTGTTTCCGGATGACCCGTAGTGAAAATCGCGTCAAAAATTGCATGGACTGACTGCTGCTTCATAACAAAGTAGCACACAGTTTAGTAAGTCATTTTTCTTTATTCCATCATATTCCCAAGCCAAAAAAGAGTGAGTCTTTGACTCCATCATATTTAGCAAAGTGATATGAAAAAATAAATGTGTGTGCACACACATATTTGAAAACAACATTTATGAATACATCCTTATATTTTTACAAATACTACGTATTTGTTTCCACCATGTTTTGAATACTATATTTTTCAAAAGTACCATTTTTTATAATTATTGCACGATTTTGTGCTGTAAGAATACAACACCAGCAACAACATCCAAGCCTTATTCCCAAAAGATTTTGGTGTTGGCTAACAAGAACCAATCCATGATATAAGAGTCCAAAAGAGAAGAAAGATAAGAAAAATAAAAAGATATCGTAAGATTTTATGCTATAAAAATACAGAGTAATAATAGGAATGCATATTATTAGACTCTTTACAATGAGAGTGACTCGAGATACCAAAGAACATCCCTTTTAACTTCAGTATCGAATTTGTTTCCAATCTTGTTTTCATATGTCCGACCGCATATTGAGAATCATGCAAAAACTTGCACAGTTGACATGTCCCTATCCTAAACCCCTAGAATCATAAGGATAATGGATAGTTGATCTGAAAAATCAGTGCAGTAATGAGTTATTCTATCAGGCAAAAACTAGAACTTTATCAAAGCTATACAATGAGGTCTAGAAACCAAGGAATCAGATATGACCACTTCTACTCACAAGAAGACACAGAATTGGCACCAGCTAACCCATTTTAATCTTCAAGACCAGTTGAAAGAATAGTCGACAGAGCCTTCTCCACCCACAATTAGACTCAAAAATATCTTTGATCACAAGGAAGTCTTTGGTTTTCAGCATGCCCAATCCTGACCTACACTCCTACCACCCTAAATGTGATAGGGTTTATGATCTAGCGGAAAGAGCACTCTTCTGATTCCGGCAAGCCTCAATGCGCACAACTTCCTGTTCAAACCCACTTCATTGACTGATAGTTTATCTTCCGGACAGGTGAATTACCCATTTAACAAACCAAGGAAAGTGGTGATATGATCCCTGTAGGATCCCTGTTTAGCCAAGTTCCTATGAATGGAATGAATCCCAGTGAGTGACGTAGTCTAGGGGGGTGGGATTGAAGGTAAACCTTGCACCGTATGCCAGGTCTTGCAAAGCTTATGTAACGAGGGGTAAGAATCCACATTTCATTGTGAAGAGAAAATGACCCAGGCAAAATATTTCCAGGGATTTCTAAAATGAAAGCACCAAGCTTGATTGGATATGCAGCATCAGCAAGAGTTATCCACTCGACTGGAATCTCTTGAGAGAGTTCCCTGTTCACCGACATTGACCCCATCATCACAACAAAGTTCTTATCCCTTCAGGTACCCAATCAGAATGATAGCAGAATTATCAGTGGCATCGGCCTTGGAAATTGGTAAAGGTGAAGGAGAGGCTAGCCATAATTGCTTGCATGGGGCAATTCCAAATAACACTGCTACTGTCTGGCTTTGATGGTTAGATGAGGTTCATCCCTTTCAAGGAGATACTCTTGCTACTGAGGGGAATCCCTTCCTACCCGATTCTTTCTTTGCTAGGAGATTCTCTTGCTACTGAACTAGAGACAACTCCCATCCATCCAGCGGTTATTTTATTTCCTTAATTAACTAATGAAATAGTTGGCGCCGAACAATTTTACATAATGCTAATATTTCAATAACACACCGATTTTTGGGGCAGAATGAAAGGTAAGGGACCCCTTGGAAGGGGGACGGCCCGCCAAATTCACATCACAGATAGTCTAAATAACATATCCCATGTTTGTTACCTAAAAGCTTTAGCAATTCTTTTATATACAGCATGGAGGCAGGAATGAATGTAAATCAATGAGCGATCTAGGTATGTCTTCCTTTTCTTTTCCAGGTATAGCACATATGCCATGGTATGGATAATGAGATAGTTTAGGACATGCTTTGGCCTTCTCTCTGTCCTCTGCTTGATGAACCTACCATCAGTCATATCTTCAAAATTTTCATCTTGAATATCACAAATGCTTACTTACAGAAGTCCACACTGCAGTAACCTAGCTATCTTTCAAGATATGAAGGATTAGTCATGAAATAAGCAGTGTGATACTGTGATATCCCCATTCATGGGTAGCCGCTATATCTGTAGTATGATTCCCCATTCACACCTGTGA